ACGTTTGTACACACTTTTACAAGCTTGGAGACCTGTGTGCACATCCTGCATTTCTCCGTACCAACAGTTTTGTTGTTTTTCCATGTATTCCACCCAGCAGAAGTGAGAAAAAGGAGAGCAGAGGAAAGAAGGAAGGCAGAGTGTGCACTCTTATTGAAAGTTGCATCAGAGCCCCTAGACAGCTTTGTGAATTTCAGCCCAATTAATCTCAAGCTTGTGAGCAGAGACTGCATAACAAGACTCGTCTGTCTGACCTCAGGCCATCTCAGAGTATGTGTGTTTGTGTGTGTGTTTGTGTGTGTGCCTGTGTGTGTGTGTAACAGATAGTCAGAGTAAGTCAAGGGATGATTGTGCAAGACTCGTTCCCTGTTGTCACCTTGAGTATGCATGCGACACTGGAGCTTGTGTGCGCGCCTTTAGACGATGCTTATATGTGAGGCAGATTTGACTCTGTGCAGTTGGTCAGTTGCATGAGGTTGTGTTGTGTCAGACTCCCCATGGAGCTGTGCTACAAAACGACAAAACCTAAGCAGTGGTATGATCTTTAACATGGTGACAACAGTTATCATCCACAATGTTCTTCTCTTTTGCACATACATTTTTTAAATATATGCACATCAATGGTAATGATCTTACAGATTACCAAAAGTACCAGCTATAGCTCATTCTTTCCTCTCCTCAGCTTTTTGTAAAGGAAAACCGTGGATTGTTTATGAACATACTGTATACATAGTATATAGAGTATGTTCATGAAGTGCAAAACCAGTGGGCGCATGCATACCTACCACAGTTCCTGGTCTAGCCTCAGGTAACAGTCACCCCCCACTGCAAATGAGCTTTTTGGGAAAATAACGTTCTGTACAGGACCATACCAATGTCTTTGAATGTTCTGGACAATTTAGTACCATCTGTGTAAACTTAAAAATTTGCCAAAGTTTGGAACTTATGAAGCTTAAAGAGTTTTTCCTTATTATTGTTATATTTCCTTATTTTTACATAACGACATGACCGCCCAGTATTAAATAATAGGGATTATTCTCAACAGTGAATCATGCAAAGCTACTGTAGTAGAGTCCAAAAATCGTGGAGCTGTAAATAAGCAAAAAAGGGACATTTAAGATGACTAATGACAGCGATTGCCAGTAATGGCCATAACATTGTTCTGAATACATGAAACAGTGAATCTGATATAAGCTGGTCTCTGTGTTTTTGGTAAAAAGTCTTTTGTTGAGGCTTTGATAATATTAGTAATGAGTAAAACTTACAAGAGACCAGTGGAGGATGCATTTACCAGTGGTTTCACTTGGAGTGCACAGCTTCTTGTGTGTAGTGAGACGTAAGCATGACTAACATCAGTGGTATGTGGCTTGACCTCGATTTTTAAAAAGTATGTTAAATATATTTACAAAATAAAAACTACAGCTGAATTGAAAGACTTGAAAACTGTGTGACATGGTTAACCATCAGTGTGTACAGGTGGATTAAAACGATTACTGAAAAATGAAAGTGGTGTATTAACAAAACAGCTGGTTTGATCTTGTACATTCAGTCAAGCAAGTGATTTATGTTAATGTTAAAGTGTTGGTGGAGTCTTTTGGCCTAGGTAGATAGTAAGAACAAACTTATCTGTTACATTCATAAATCACAGAGGTTTCCACACAATGGCCAGACGGTAACTGATCTCGACAGTGAAAGCAGAGCTAACAGCAGCTTGTCTAGCATGCTCGTCTCACATCAGTTTCCTGCCAAAAACCAGACGTTTATCCACGTTGTGCATGTGCAAAAAACCAGAAAAGGCTGCTGGTCTCCTTTTATTGGGACCTGGATACGGCCTGTGGGTGAGACCATTGTGAAACGGAGTTAAATTTTGCTTCCAGAGACAATAGGCAACAAGATAGTAGTTATTTCAAGGATGGATGCAGACCACTCGTTAACATGAAAGGAGAAAGATTCCTTTTACAATGGCAAATTTTAATGGTCTGTTATGAGCTCTCATGGGATGCCACTGGCTAACAGTGGTGGTAAGCAAATACTCCTAGTGTGACATGCTAGCTGCATTGTAAACCTTTATCTTTCCCTGTAACCTTTTACCTACAAAATCTATCACATATGCATTCAGACAATTTGCAGTTTTTATAAGGCACCATTTAGCGTGGGAGATGATTAGCAAAATCATACCTGGTAGAGCAATGTCTTTATAGCGGTAATACTTAATAACTCATGAATTAAACCTTTTCAGGTAACTTTCACATCAGTGAGGATCCTTTTTTTAAATGCTGCTTAAGGGGAAAAACTTAAATTTTTTGTCTAATAGTTATTGTAGTGGTGGAGATGAGTGTCCTTCAAAGGGTGGCTGGGCTATCTCTTAGAGATAGGGTGAGGAGCTCGGTCCTTTAAGAGCCGCTGCACCTCCACATCAAAAGGAGCCAGCCGACTTGGATGAGTAGGATGTCTACTGGATGCCTCCTAGGCGAGGTGTTCTGAGCATGTCCTACCAGGAGGAAGCCCCAAGGCAGACCCATGACTTGCTGGAGAAAATATACCTCTCAACTGGCTTGGGAACGACTCAGTATTCCCCTGGATTAATTGGAAGAGGTAGCTGGGGTGAATAAAATGTCTGCGTCCAAATGGAGATAAGCGGTAGAGTATG